AATTATAGATAATGATTGAAAAATGTTTCCAGTGATCTTGAAAATTGACAAGAATAGAGATGATAAAACAAGGAAAACGGACTATCTCATGTCAGGAAAGACAAGGATACGCGAGTAGAGACTGTGAATGGCGGATGTGTACAAATTCATGAAACAGGGAACGTCCATTCGATGGTAGAAGCGAAGACAAAAGGTCTATGCAATGGAGATGGCGAACAAATGGGAATGTTTTCATTTCGATGCAAATGCGCGTGTGCGACGCTTCGAGAGTGAAAAAAAAAAATATAATCGATGGCGAGAGATTGCTGATACTTTGATGATACGATGCGCGGAGACAAAGAAGAGTCGGGAAATTAAAATACTCTCACGACTACCGTACTATACGATCCAGGTAACTGTGAATGATCGAGAAAGTATGAGAGGATGTATTACGGCACAAATATAAAAAAAATAAAATAAAATGCATGAGTATAGATAGAAAATATATAGAATAGATAGAAAATATTCATGTCCATTTAACACTTGCAAATAAACGTGTAATGCAATTATATTACTAAGAATTTATAGCACGCGTCAGAAAGGCATCACAATTTTAATTTAATTATTATATTATATTTAATTATATTTTTAATTGTGTGTATATAATTACAGGGTATCCCAGTTATCTTCCGTCATCTTTCAAAGACAGATTCTTGGGATCATCTGAAGACGATTTTTCGAAGCGAAAATGTCAATGAAGGCCATCATTTTTTGCATGTTCCCGATTTTTGTCATCATATATCTTTGCAATTAAGTCTTAAATTAAAACTCAACTAAAGTAAACTCTATTTAAAATTAATCGAAGAACGTGGTTTTGTTAATATTTTATTTCTACAAAGCTTAGTTTACGAAAAACCCCTTATTTCCAATCACTTATAATTCGAAAATTATTAGTGCCTCGACATTTTCGTTGTGGAAAAATCGTCTTCAGATGATCCCAGGAAGCTGTCTTTGAAAGATGACGGAAGATAACTGGGACATCCTGTATATAATATCATATAAATCAAAAGACAGAAGGTAAAATCGAAAAAAAATAAAGAAAATAAAATTCTAAATTTTAATTTCCAGACTTTTCGAATTTTCTTCATCCTAAAATTTCAACTAATTTTAAATTCAATCTTTCCACGAGATATATAATGCACCTCCCGTTATATGTATATATAGTTCTGATCCCATTGTCAGTATTTTCTGGTAACAAAATTGCGTCGCGCCGTCTAAGCTACGAGCTTTAGGAGATCAAACCTGCAAAAATTTCGTTCGGTTTTACGGACATCGACCATCTGTTCGGTCTCGATAACAAAAAGACGGAGGCGACATAGGCAACCGAATCGAGAATTTTCTGCGGTCAGGTAAAGAGTCGACGGGTGTCGCGTCCATTCGTAAAAATCGAACTTTCCTGCTTTGACGTGAAAACGACAGAAAAAAGCGCGAGGTCGTTAAACCTGACGGTGTAAGAAATCCCGCCGAACCCACATGAGAGTCGCCGCAGAAAGAAATCTCACCCTCGCTTTATTTTCCTTTTTTCCTTCGCGACAGCCTGATACACGTTAGCGTCTCAGCGAAAAAGTGAAAGAAATGCGCGAAAGAAAAAGAAAGAAAATATATGTGTTGAATTTCGCGAAGAACACATATTTACGAGATGAATGTGAAAAAACTAACGTGTAAGGTTCGATACGTTACTACTGTTTATTATTTTTTGTCTTCGGATTACGTAATCTATTTACAAGCCAATGTCATAAGAGAGAGAGAGAGAGAGAACCATATACCTTGAAATTATTCTATATACTATAATAATTGAAAGAATTAATAATCAGTTATCTGGCTTTATCTTTTCGAAGATAAATAGTAAAATGAGAGAAAATAAAAACAAAATCAATAGAGCGTCATATTGTCGCTATAAATTTTATGATGCTTTTAAATACAATCCTAATTAAAAGTCCTCCCTAACAATATGTTAGCATTTTTCGCAATTTTCATAAAATAAAGTAAGAGACGTATATATAGTATGAAAAAAACAAGAAATATTTATCTCTGAAAGATAATATGTAATCATGTTTTTAAATATACTTTTTCATTAGACTTATATTTATGTGTGTGTATGTATGTATGTATTTATTAAAATATAAAGAAATTCTAATAATATATATACATTAATTTAATTGTTATATTATAAATAACAATATTTATTATAATATAAATATATTTAATATTTATATATTCTCAATTTTCAATATTTATTAATTATCTCTCTTGCTTATTTTATGAAAATATTGAAACTCACGAGCAAAAGTATGATAGATTAAAAAACAGGTAAAATTAGTATTTTTTTAGTGTCTCGATAAAAAGGCAAAATGTTAGAAAGAGAAAGAGAAAAGAAGATCAAATTTTTTTTATTCAAATTCATTTTTTTTCAAAAGAAAATATTTCAAATATATATGGATGATTTATATGATTTATATTTATGTCTCTCACAGCAAAATGTATATTTTTTCATTTCATAATAAACATAATTTAATTAATATATTTCATATTATCAATTTTCACTCCACTTTTTTAAGTCTTTTTAAACCGCATAATGGACTTTTAATAGCCTTCTTTTCTCTTTTATACAATAAATTAATATTTATCATTGTGCAACAAAGTGTATATAATCCAAGAAATCAAAATCAACATTCTTATAACTGCACATATGTGTGTCCGAGAGATTACGTGCAAGCGACAATAAAAAACGAATCAAACTTTTACGTGGATAAGTAATTCATCGTGTTAGTCTCTTCGAAATTCTACATTTTTTAAATTCAATTCCTTCTGCGAAAAATAACACACGTGTGAAATTTAACATCCGCCTTATTAATTAAATCGATATACAATGCAACATATTCGTCGAAAATACAATTTAAAAAAAATTCAATATTAATATATTAATAGAATTTAGATTTTTTGTTCAGATCATATTATACGAAAAATAAATTTAATATAAATTATGAATTTAATATTAGAAAAATAAATTTAATATAAATTATAAATTTAATATCAGAAAAATAAATTTAATTTTAGAAAAATAATAACAAAGGCAAGTATCGATATTTTTCTGGTTCAAACCACCAGCCTTTAACCGGTAACCACCAATCGGAGCAGTCCGAGAAATTTAATTCCGCCGCTGCACGATAATCGTGCTCCGACATTCATATGTGACATGTAAACATTGCGTGCACTCACCGCAAACGTTGAGCCAGCCCTCGACGCGGCAGGGATACTCCAGCTTCATCTTGGTACGCGCGAAATCCAGGTCACGATGACGGCTTCTCGTCAGCACAGCAGGTCGCACTGATCACACAAACCTCCCCCCTTTCCCTTCTCTCCTTTTCGTCCACCGGTTATCACTGAGAAACGATATCGCTGATCGCCGCGACACACATTCTTTCGCGCGTGCGAAAGACGCGACGCAGGACGACACTCGCGATCTCTTTCTCTCCTCCTCGACGAGCACGCGTTCGCGACACGAGGCCGACACGCGGAAGCGATGTGACGGATACACCGACTGATTTGCAGTTTCACGAGAGAGAAACAATGGGGCGGAGGGAGATTAGACGCTCCGAAGGAACACGCGGGTGGTCCGAACGTGAACAACACACAGCGAAGGGTAAACGCTCACTGCACGCGCGCGCGCACACGCGAGACGCACGCGACGGCGAACAAATCTGAACTGAGGCGCGAGCGAGCGACGCGGCCGGCTCACCGCGAGATCCTATCTCCCTCTCTCTCGCTCTCCCTCCCACCCGCGCCGGCCACTCTCGCTGTCAGGTGGCCGACCTCCTCTCTCGCTCGAATAACCTGCACTTTGATACCGCGCGATAGCCATCGATTCCTTGTAAGAATATACTTTACGATAATTATGGAAATATGTACACTCGATCGCGACTATTTTGCTGCCGTTTAGAGTTAGACTAAAACTATGTTAAATGAGATAGAGTGGTTTCGTATTTTTTTTTTTATACACGACGCCATCTCGACATCACATCTGTTACTAATTTATACGAGTGCAAAGTTTCCGGAGTTATAGTTAATAAATAAATATGTGTTGAATCATATCTGTTATCGATTAATGACAGACACGGCAATAAAGAGAGATATATATCGAGATATTTTTATATCAAGAATAAACCTTTTCTTACGTTTGTGTATACTCTTCGAATCCAATGTTCTAAAGTTACAACTTTTTTAGAAATGTGCGATTTTAAAATGACCAATCATGGCGCGCATGTGCTAGTGAATCTGTCTCCAGAAAAACAAATTTTTGCTATCACAAAGTTCGTATTCCATTTGACATTATAAATACCTCGAAGCTTGATCGACCAATTGGAATAAAAAAATCTTTATCTTGAGAATCTTAATCCGATCGATCAATCTAACAAACGAAATGGTTTTAATGGAGCGTATATCCATAATCTTGATGTTCTCATAATTTCACAAAGATTGTTAAAGAATCAAAAATTATTGAACGTATTTACTATGAAACATTTAGATAAATATTGAGCGTTTCAAATTAATGGCATCAAGAACAAAACGACATTTAGATTTGGAGCAAGTCGGCTGTTATCCACGCATAAAAAAAATTATTGAATCTTCCCTCTCATTTCTAATACACGATAGATCGTAACGTTTTCGTATAATTTCTTTATTACCTATTCTTCTATTCAGAGGCGAATTTTTTGCCGTGTTCAAAGCGTTCAAGGTTTCGCGATTCTTCCAACCCGGGTGGGTTTCTCAGATTTTTAAAAATATAACCCAAATGAAAAATAATCGATGCACTGAAAACAATTATTCAACGAGAACTTACCGCTAAAATATACGAAGCAAACGGGAAGAGGAGGAGAGGACACCATTACCGTATCGCGCAGGTGCCGATCGAAGTTGATACTCGGTTAACTTCGTTGTGCAATTCGATGACGAGATCGCCATCTGGCGAGCAGAGCGACAGTCAGTCCTAGCAACATGGCGCTCAAGGCACAAGTCGGTCAAAGTGAGTAGCGTAAAAAAAACAGAAAATTCGTGCAGCATCATTTCTGTTTCGAGCATCATTAATCGCGACATCGTTGATCGGCCACGTGGCTACGCGATCGCACCGATCTCGCGTCTGTCAAACGCCATCACGTCAACGAAATTCACCTCGAATAGGCGTACACGCTCCCCTCTCGCTCTCCCTCACTCCCCACGATGATTTCATCGGATGGCGAGGAGAAACGTCAAACACGAGAAACGTACATTCGATCTTGGTTCCGATCGAGAATTTCGGTTTCAGGGAATCGGAATTCCCGGAAATCCCGTTTACGATTTTCGAATTTCGATGCTGCCTGTCAATTGTCAAGCGTAAACACCCTCCCCCCGCTTTCCTGAACTTTTTGCGGAAGTGATTTTTTAATCCCCGGTTTTTGCGCTTTTCTAGCAGTTTTGAGACAATATGACGACAATAGACGAATATCGCGAAAATGTCACAGCGAAAAGTGAAAGGTCATTGCGAGAGATGCGTGAGAAACGTGGTATTTTCACGTTCAATGGTTATGAATGATAAGGGCGTTTAAAGCTCAATCTCGTTCATGTCGCGAGGAATCGAGAGGAAAAAAAAGCAGCGTGCTAATTTTTTATCAACACGAATGACGTCTTGAACAATGAGCGTGTTCAGGCGCACTTTTCTCGCGCAAATATCTGTTGCTCTTTTGGAGTAATTCATTGTTCGATATCGGCATACTTTCGAAAATGTAAAATTGCTAAATGTGCTGTAAATGTGCTTTTTGTTCGAACGTGAAATTTGCAATATTGCACTTCCATATGTAATGAGACGCATGTGTACATACATATATGTAATCATAACGTTCTCTTATATTATTTTCAATCTTCCCTCCCTCTCATATCAAATTATACATGCATAATTAAATGGAATAAATATTCTATTACTTATACAGCACAGAATATTGCAACAATATTATTAATATTGTTGTAACATATTGCAATATTGCAATATTGCCGCAATGTTATGTGCTGTATGGATTAGCAACACATTTTATATATTATCAGCTTGTTGAGTTGAATAATCTGAAAGAATAATAAGTCCCTTTCGTTTTCTTACTTTGTTAAACGACCGCAAAGTTCGTCTTTTTCGTATAAAGAATTAAAGAAGATTTCTGTTTTGCATCTCGCACGTCTATAAATAAACCAAAGGGGATATCGGAAAATAGGGTCTGCAGCTTCCTTGATACACGCCTGAACGCAGTGACGTCACCTTTCCGTAGGGACGATCAATATATGTACATGTAGAGCGTCAAAAGACTTCTTAGCGGCTCAATCTGCGTGTCAACATCGTTAATTGTTAATGATCGCACTGTCAATAACCCATGCGAAATTAATTACGTTCCCTCATCATCGTTGGCATTAATTTTCCCTCATCTTATCTGGTCGATAAAGCAAATTCACTATTTCTCCCTATTCTCGAGAATAAAATGTAATATTGCAGAGAAAATTTATACAAATTATTTTTTATTTTTTAAATATATAATTTATGAGAGATTATTTCAAAAAATTTTAATAGTAAGTTAATTAAGAGAGTTGCAATAGTTTTCACGATTTTTTTTCTCTTTTAAATATTTATCGATCGACTTCCGACTTATAGAAACATGCAACATTCGAGCAATTACTATAATATTGATCTCTCCAGGCGCAGTGTGATATAAATATTACAGTAATATCATTTTTTTCTGTTAGATACATCGTGAAATTTACTAATTGAGATCTCGTTCTCAAAACGTCAATTTCCTTTCGCTATTCCAGATATTATCATTATTTTAATCGATTGTGAATTAAGAACATTAGATATTATTTTTCTCGAAAAATTTACCATTTAATAAATTTTTTCGCGTTGCAGAGATTATGAATGAGGTGATCAAGCAAAAGAAGAAGACAACAGGTGGGGTGGAATGGCGGATCTTGGTGGTGGATCAGCTCGCCATGAGGATGGTATCCGCGTGCTGCAAGATGCACGATATCAGCGCTCAGGGTATCACTTTAGTGGAGGATATCAATAAGAAACGCGAGCCTCTGCCGACAATGGAGGCCATTTACCTCATCACGCCCTGTAATTCATCGGTGCAGAAATTGATCGACGACTTTAGTAATCCGGCAAGAACTACTTACAAGGTCGCCCACGTGTACTTTACGGAAGGTATCGGGTCGCAATTGTATTTCCCTATTCACGTTCTAATGATATCCCTTCTCCTCCATGGCGAATCTGAATCGGTGAATTTTGTACAACTATTTGCCTTAGTTTTGGAATTTGCAGCATGTGAATTATCTCAACAATCGAGTCTGCAATTTAATTTTCATTCAACTGCAAGATTTTTTAAAATATTAATTTGCTAAATTATATTTAATATTGAATTTTAAATATAATTGAATATATATAATTAAATATATAATTAAATATATATTTAATATTGAATTTTAAATATAATTGTATGATAAACATTCGGCTAAAATTTTTGGCCAAAGTTGCCACACACACTCGAAATTCATCGAAATAAAACATCTCACTGATTCCCACAATCAATCTCCATGCAAATGTAACCGATTATCTAGACTCAACGTAACGATTCAAATTAAAACATGTTGATAAAAATTGACTAGTGTTTCGAGAAGAATAATAAGAATAATCGCAAGATTTTAAATCCGGTTCGACTTATCAGTCAGTTCATTATCCATGGGGTGATTCGACATACTCAGTATATTTCTTTGCAGCATGCCCTGACGAGTTGTTCAAAGAATTGTGTCATTCGCTGGTATCTAAGCACATAAAGACACTAAAAGAGATCAACATCGCTTTCATACCATATGAAGAGCAGGTAAAGCAATGAAAAACTATGACAAGGATGTTTTGAGCGTTTTTGTCCTCATGGTGATGGGCATATATCACATACACACAACACACATACATCAATACAATTATTCGTCACATTTACGCGATGATCTATGTTCACTTTTCGGTCACGTAAGTCTAATCACGCGAGTCTTCACGGATATCAGTCAAAACGATATAAATACAATGTTATCCTCTCTTCCGATCTGTCCAATCCATTTTGAGCCTTTCATATGTGATTCACAAGCACATACTAATAATCAGAATGCATTCATGCTTGCACTCGATGCCAGTATGCCCGGAGGAGCTGTTCAATGAAATCTGCAAGTCTCTCGCCGCTAAAAAGGTCAAAACCCTCAAAGAGATCAACATCGCATTCCTGCCATACGAATCGCAGGTGACGAAGCAGACGAAAATAATAAACGCTATAGTTGTAGCTCTAGAGCGAAAACTTTATAATCTTCAAGTTATTCACGAGCTTATAGATTTCTCTGCTTTTTCGAATCGTCGAGATTTATTTTTCGATTGCAAAAAACTAGGCGATAGACTTTCTGTCGAAGAAAGAGCTTCTCATTATCTCTATTTTTGAAAGTTTCGGTATGTTCAGCATACATGCTTGTAATGTGATTACTAATCGAATTGTTTCTGTAATTTAGTCTCGTTACTTTCGGAAAACTTTAATTGGCTTGCTTATTTACTTTGCTTCAAGTATAAAACTTGTCTAATTCGCATTGTCGCAACGAGAACATCGCAAAATTAAATATGCCATAATTTAGGTCTTCTCATTGGACTCACGTGAAACGTTCGCTTGCTTTTACAATCCCTCTTTCTCCAACTTGAGAGCGGCTAATATGGAGCGCATCGCCGAACAAATTGCAACACTCTGTGCCACTCTTGGGGAATATCCGTCGGTCAGATATCGCAGGTAATTCTTCAAATATAATTTAGAAATAGAAATTATGTCACAAATAATTTATATAAGCGGACTCTTCAATAATATTAAATAACTTGTTGCAGTGATTTCGATCGCAATGTTGAACTCGCTCAATTGGTGCAGCAAAAACTAGACGCATACAAGGCTGATGAACCGACAATGGGAGAAGGACCTGAGAAAGCACGTTCTCAACTATTGATTCTAGATAGAGGATTTGATTGCGTCTCACCACTGTTGCATGAGCTTACGTTGCAAGCCATGGCATATGATTTGTTAGATATTGATAATGACGTTTATAGGCAAGTAAAGTTTCATTATTTTTATTATAAATTTAAAGCACAACACTGTCTAAGACTATTCATAATGTTTAATAGATTCGAGGCAACAGCAGGTCAAGAAAAAGAAGTATTATTGGATGAAAACGATGATTTATGGGTTGAACTCAGGCATCAACATATTGCTGTAGTGTCTCAGTACGTATATAAATAATAAGACTCAACTTTTTGGAAAGATTAATAACTGTGAAGAGTAACAGTAACATTGTAACAGTAATACTTGTTTTCCAGGAATGTGACTAAAAATTTGAAAAAGTTTACAGAATCAAAAAGAATGCCGCAAGGTGATAAGCAGAGTATGCGTGACTTGTCGCAGATGATCAAAAAGATGCCGCAATATCAAAAAGAATTGAGCAAATACGCCACGCACTTGCAATTAGCCGAAGACTGCATGAAGCGTTATCAAGGAAACGTAGATAAACTTTGTAAAGTCGAGCAAGTATGTAATAGCTATTCCATAATTCATTTAATAGATGATAACTTTTTATTATACATCTATATCTTTCATTATACATCTTTCAATTTAGGACTTAGCTATGGGTACCGATGCGGAGGGTGAACGCATCAAAGATCATATGCGAAATATCACACCAATTTTACTAGATCAGACCGTGAATCATTTGGACAAGTTGCGAATCATAGCTTTATATGTCATTAGCAAAAATGGCATCACTGATGAGAATCTTAATCGTTTGGTTCATCATGCCCAAGTGTCCGTTGATGATAAACAGACTATCGTCAATATAGCAAATCTCGGCATCAATGTTGTTGTAGATGTAAGTTGAAGAATTTATAAATTAAATTTTAAAGATGTCAAAAAATTTTAGTAACACTTAACTAGTAATTTATTTCTATTGCATGCAATATATTATTGTCTGACATTTATAGAGTAATCGCAAAAAGTTATATACGGTACCACGTAAGGAAAGAATCACGGAACAAACGTACCAAATGAGTCGTTGGACTCCAATCATTAAGGACGTCATGGAGGATTCCATCGAGGATAAACTTGATTCTAAACATTTTCCATTTCTCGCTGGACGTGCAGCCAGTTCAGGATATCATGCACCAACCAGGTATATCATAAAAATACTGTCTCTTTTGTTTAAAATTAATTAATTAAAATTATTAATCTGTTTCTCAAAACATTACTTTATATTTGTGTAGCGCGCGATATGGACACTGGCACAAAGACAAAGGTCAACAGACTATTAAAAATGTCCCTCGATTAATCGTTTTCATAGTTGGTGGCGTATGTTTCTCTGAAATACGATGTGCATATGAAGTTACAAATGCATTGAAAAATTGGGAAGTTATAATTGGTAAGGAATATTTGGAATATATACAATTTATATATTCAAATAATTTAATATTAAAACATGATACGTTTAAAAAAAGAACTTATTTATCGCAATTAAAAATATTTCTGTTGTAGGCTCATCCCATATAATTACACCAAAATCATTTTTGAATGACTTGAGTAAAGTGCACGTCTAAATTATCATATAGCTAAAAGAAGAGATGACCATACATTCCGAATCTGCCGCTAGTTTCGACTCCATCAGTAATACCAGCTATAAAGTCATCAATGATCTCTCAAATACGAAATTAAGAAACTAAATAACGAACAAACAGTCAATTCTTTAAGGAAGATGGTGAAACTCATTTGAACAAAAAACATCGAGCGTATGCAAGTATTCTATAATATAGCTGTCAGTTGAGTAATATATAAAAGTATTCGTGTATTAGTCAAGCACGAAGACTCTTGATCGATCAGATAAGTCATCTAGAATCAAGTGCCTGCGCGAATACAGAATCACTAGAGATCGACACGTTGGCAATACTGATGTAGATCGCACCAAGATGTGTAATGGTATTGGGCAATCGAGCCTTTAGCAAAGCTTTAGAGATATATTCATATGCATTATGTCACTCTTTGTCTGTAATAAGGAGAGGAATTTGTGAAGATCTATGTGTCTCGTAGAAGAGAATCGTGATATTTCTGTACATTTCTCTTATTATTAATATTTTGTGTTAACTTCCGCTCGTTGAAAAATGATGACTGAGTTGACATCTAAAATGTAGATCGTTTTTATTTAGTATACTTTTGCTGTACTTTTACTTGGTATACTTTTAAAAAAAAATCATAATTTTATTATAATAGAGAAATATCTCAAATCTAAATGTCACGTCGCAATTCACTTTATTCTCTTATCTTCTCTTCCCTTATCACTATCAAGTACCAGTATGATATGAAGATTATTTATCTGACATTATTATTTCTCTAATTAATGGTACTGGATGTAAAATAAAATCTCTAATGTGTATGAACCTAATACTTATACTTCTTTTGTAACTTATTTATTTTTACTTTAATAATTTTATGCAATATTCTAATTTTCGAGCTATCTAATTGTTAATTTAGACTATATTCAATGTAATTCTCCTAAGGATAGTTTCAATATATTCAGCAAATGTTCAGCACTTTCTTTGACAGAAACGACTACTTACTTCTATTGAATACAATGCCGATACAGTTATAATACTGTACTCATATGTATGTATGTATCGTAAGATTTATTGCAATATCGAACCGCAATTGTTATGCGATTGTGGTAAAGAAGTGCTTTCGACGAGAAGTTTGCGCCTGTCGATGAATAACAATGGTAATATTCGTTAATGTAATGTCAATAAATGTTGCGATCTATTAGCGGAGAGATTATTATAAAGTTAAATGATATTTATAAAGTATATCCTGTTGTGTTATACATATATATGTATATATATGTATGTAGATTATAGTTGGAACAAAATGTTCTGCTTATAAAGGCCTAAAATGCGCTCTATTTGTCTCTTTTTAATTCACTTTACCACATGTATGCATTGCAACACAGAGCACAGAATTGCTTGGATGAAATTCTTATCTAAAAATTTATATATATCGACCCAGCTATCTCAAGTTTTCAAAGAAGTTATCAATAATACAAGGTTAAATATGAGATCTAAGATTAATAAAGTTGTCATGAAACGGATTTTAACACAGTTAACTCTGTACTGTCTCAACAACTGTTCTTTACTGTTAGATCGTTTAGAATTTTTTTGTTTAATTTCTACTTAAAATACAAAACTGTAAAAGATGGCAGATTTGAAGAAAAAGGTGATTCTAGCATATAGCGGTGGTCTAGACACCTCCTGCATATTGTTTTGGTTGAAGAAGAAAGGATTTCAAGTTATAGCTTACGTGGTAAAAATTTTTATAATTATATAATTTCTTCCTGAAATAAGTAGATATAGAAATTTGATTATATTTGATTATATTTAGGCGAATATTGGGCAAGATGAAGATTTCGACGCGGTTAGAGAAAAGGCACTTAAAATTGGTGCTATTAAGGTAAAATATTTCTTTTATTTTTAACATATTACACCATTTTGATTAAAAAGGAAAATATTGCAAATTTTATAATATAAATTGATAAATTGCTTGATAAGTATTATTACGATTATTAATAATATATTAGTTAATTGTTCAATATATTCATATTAAAACAGTAAATAATCTAGTTCCCTCATTGAAAAATTCGCATAATGATAAATTCTATTGTTCGTAAGGTTGTGATAGACGATCTTAAAGAAGTATTTGTTACTTCTTATGTATGGCCCGCCGTGGCTTGTGGCTTGCTCTACGAGGGAAGATACCTTCTAGGCACTTCCGTAGCACGTCCATGCATCAGCCAGGGTTTGGTCAAACTCGCGAAAGCCGAAGGCGCCAATATAATAGCGCACGGAGCAACTGGAAAAGGAAATGATCAAGTTCGCTTCGAGTTGAGCTGCTACAGTCTTTACCCTGATATTACGGTACTTTTTACATCTATTTCGCTAACAACTTTTTGACAAACAATACAAGTTTAAAATGTATATCGATGAATTTAGAAGGAATTTATCCATTTATATGTATAGACGTTTTTCAGCAAGGACACAGTGTATCACTTCATCCTTGTCGATTGCTAAATGTAAATATGAAATAATTCACTGTGTTATGCTTGCTGAAAAACGCTGTGTATAATGTAAGGGAATATATTCTCTATATATGATTGTGTATTTTATGAGCATAAAAATTAATTATATATAAAAATTATACATGATATATATGATAAAAAATATAAAATTATATAAAGGTTTTAGCTCCATGGAGGGAACGCGAATTTTACGAGAAATTTCAAGGAAGATCAGACTTATTGGAGTATGCGCGACAAAATGATATACCGATCTCAGCAACACCGAAGGAACCGTGGAGCACTGATGCTAATCTTGTTCACATTAGGTAAAACACACGTAATGGATATTTAATAAAAGAGATTCATATTCATATTAATTCCATTTTTTATATTTATAGTTATGAATCAGGGGTGTTGGAAAATCCTGCCACTCCGGCACCGAAAGAGCTTTATAAAATGACTGTTGATCCGATAAATTCTTGTTTAGATGCAGAGGAGATTGAAATTAGTTTTGCGAAAGGATACCCGATCAATGTGAAAAGTCTGAAAGATAACAAAATATACGATACTCCTCTAGCGATAATCGAATATCTGAATAAGATTGGAGGTTCGCATGGTATTGGGAGAATAGATATCGTGGAAAATCGATACATCGGATTAAAGGTGCATTTGTGATAAATTTATAAATTGTTGAATAAAAACAAATATAATATGATCTATCTATATCATTTAAATGTTTCAGTCTCGGGGAATTTACGAGTCGCCGGGCGCCAAAATCTTGCACGTCGCGCATCAAGACTTAGAAGTGTTCATCTTGGACCGTGAAATTCTGAGAATCAAATCGTATCTGACGAACAAGATGTCGGATTACGTTTATAATGGTATAGTTAAATATATGTATATAAAAATATAACATTCAAATATAAGAAGAATATTAAAAATATATTTTAAATTTTCTTAGCTAAATTATTTTAAAACTGCTTATCTTATACAGGTTTCTGGTTTTCGCCCGAATGCGAATTTGTACGAGAAAGCATCCAACATTCCCAAAAATACGTAAACGGTGTAGTGAGACTGCAATTGTACAAAGGAAATGGTTGGTATAAGAATCATATAAATAATTTGTATCAAATTAAATTAAAACCATAAAATCTCGAACAGACTATATTTAATACGTGGATACGATTATGAATTTAATATCTACAATAATATCAATAATATCTACAATAATATCTACAATAATATCAATAATGATTATTCTTCTTTCTATTACATGTAGTTATGGCGATCGGTAGATCGAGTGAAGTTTCATTGTACAACGAGAATCTAGTGTCAATGGACGTGCAAGGTGATTTCGAGCCCGCGGATGCTACTGGATTTATTCGCATACAAGCTCTAAGATTGCGAGAGTTTCATCGTTTTAATAGCAATAAACAACACAATGTCTAACAGCAGCAAGAATTTATTGCGAGTTTTGTTTGTTTCTCAATAAAAGGTGCGATATTAATTTTAACTCTTTCTTCAAGCTATTTTATTACTTTATAAATATCTGCGCGTATTTTTGAAACATAATTCAATGTTATCTACTGCAACTCTCTTTAAAAATGTATGTGTAATAATAGGTATAGTATCGCATCGAGAATATGTACATATTTCGTCATATGTATATGTGGGCTAAACGTAATGGACAAGCTAGATTTAAATAAAATTCATTTTGAAAGAAATTCGATTATGCGCTTTATAAACGCTTTTATGCATGTGAGACGAAGAAAGGTGAGGTTTCACAATAAAATATTACATTTCTGCTTTCATATTTTAGTTATTAATAATTAAATCTTAAGATTGTTAGAGCATATATTGTAAGGGCTATAATATATGTGCTTATAATATACTTTTGAATATATATTAATAGTATACATATAGTTTAGATTTTTTTTCGTATTTGCACTCTACTTCGATTTCGCAACTTAAAGAAAAACTGTCAAATATAAAATTATGCGACAGTTGCTCTTTTAGCCGCGATTTTCTATACAGGTCTCTTACTTGCGTCTCTTATTTACTTCTGTTCTCACACTCTCTGCGTTTGTAAATATTATATAACATGCAAAATTACACAAACTAGGAAAGGTAATTTCTCTATGCATGTACACAACGAGTAGTCTCTTGTATTCACAATTGAATATTAGTTTAAATATAGTAATAAACATGGTTTTTTATTCCTGCTGATTAATAACAATATAGATTATGTGTATGTATGTGTATGTGTGTACACATATGTATACACGTATATGTGTATATATATATATATATATATATATATATATATATATATATATAAAATTCAGGTTCTATCAAAGAAATTTCAATATGCATATAAAATATTTGACGCAAGAATACAATTTATTCCGGAAAAAGGAAGATATATCTATTTTTTATAGATACATCTTTTATCGCTTTTCGTTTCTTACAATTCACATTCTATGTTTTGATGATAGTTATATGTGTATATATGTACGTATATGTGTGTGTGTATATATATATATGTGTGTGTGTATGTATATATATTATAGATTGATGTTGCTAAATAAGAAATCCTTATACATATGTATAATCACAAATAATATCGCATGCATTCCTGGTCATAAATAAAAATGGAATTAAAAAGATGTATTTTTAATAATATGTAACATCAATTATTAAATCTCTCAAGTGTCATTTAAAAAGAAAACTGAAAAGAAAAAAAAAAAGCTTTTAAAACTTTATAGGGAATTCTTAGTTAAAGAATTTACAAATTGTATTATAAGATTATATTGGAAAAATTAAAACTCATTACAACATTTTTTTATGAATCAGCATTTTTTAATTCGATTTTTATTTATAAAAAATTATATTTAACATAAATATACGAAAGTAAATTTTCGAAGCTGCCGTCGTTAGTGTAACGAAGAAAACGGAGATACATGAACGCAACGCTCGATAAACAATCGCTCTTTTCTCTCACTCTCTCTTTCTCTCTTTCTCTTATTTAACAACATCAAGCATCTCTTTATTTCAGCCATTTATTTTCTCTCATCTCATAATTATTTATATACAACCTGTTTAAATGTTCACTATCGTTAGTCATAGTAAGTCTGCTAAAATTCATGTGCCATTGGAGATGATGTGCGCCCGTGGAAACTTATATAAAAAATTACTTTTTGATACAGTTGAGTGATTTTGGTGTTACTTAGAGAAATATGTATGTATACTTGTTACATTCTAACTTATGCTGAGATCTAGCGGGTTATACAATTTATCTATCCGTTTTCTTTAACGATTATAAACCTTATCACATATATAAAGATTATATATTTTTTATTGGTACTTAATATATATTTATACATAGATATATTCTATAGTCCGTATTTAACATACTACCAATGATTTCTCTTTGTATGTACAATTACAAACCACGTATTATACAATCTTAATATCTATTACACACATTCTGTTTTTTCCTACACATTCTCCCTGTGAACTATTTCTTTCTTCCATGCATTCAGTTTTTTTTTTCTTCTATCCTGTTATTACATAATTAGGATTCATATGTCCGGTCAGCACGTGTGAGCACGTTATCGTGTGACGCAACATTTATGACTTCCGATAACTTTCATCATGTCTAAAAATACATGATTGGTCAATATAAATGTATATTCTACAAACCAAATAAAATCGAAACACTTTGAAGGGATATGGAACTTGTTATTTTGTATTTTCAAATTCTGTCGATGATAATCAATTTCAATATTACGTACAAAAACATTTTACACAAAAAGAATCTTATTCCAAAAAAATCCATCATTGATGGATATATATTTATCACTTATATAACGTTCTTACAATTTACATTCTAATTGTTTCACGATACACTAAGAGCAAGCATATATTAAGCAAAATGAACGATTAATGCAAAACTTTCGAGATTGTGATAAAAGATGTGTAGAAAGAAAAGCACAATTGATATGTTTGCCAATTTTTATATAAATATGTGTTTTACGATACTTCAGAGGCAAAAGTATGCATTAAGCAAATGAATAATTAATATAAAACTTTCGCTATCAAGATTTAAAAGATGTGCACATTATTCACAGTATTTGTTAGCATTCGATTTATATTCGACTCGATTCGCTTATCGGATTGTAAATAAAAAAAGTTTGCATTTGATAAGCTGTTCGTTTGTTTATGCATTTTACTATATACTTCATTATTCTATCATATATATTTCAATATTCATTACTCTTCTATACTATTCTCCATTATGTTAATTAATACACAAAATGTGTTCTAAACAAATAGATATATATCTATACATGTATAATTTGCTTTTATATCGCTTTGATATCATGAAAGACAATTTATGGTAGAAACATTTGATATAATTTCTGTCACCTGGATAATTCAATATCCATTATTTAATTAATTTCAACTTTATTAAATGTTATTATTGTTAATATATGCACTAAATATGGTAAAAGTTCCTCAGAGTGCAAGATTGATCATTTAACGATATATAAAAGTTGATAGATAATATCAATTGTGTGCTTCTCTTTCCATGATTTGATTTCACGTTAACTGTTCACTTGCTCAATGTATATCTTACTCGTCTATTTTCATGCATTATTTAAATTATCGATTTTAATTAATATATAAACGATAAAATTTTCTCTAAATAATTAGTCTACATGTGTGTGTATATGTATATGTATATATATTATATATACATATATATATACACATAAAATTCGCTTTTATAGAACATTGTGAACAAAAGAATTTGTAGCAATGAATTTGATAATTTTTGTCAACCATATCGTGAAAAATTCAATGTTGATTATTTGATTAATTTCTCAATAAGAATTATAAATAACGCTTTAGTATTTTTTAATTGCTTCTGTTGATAGTTTAATTTTTCTAATACGTTGGACACTAATGTGACATTATAATGTCTGCTATTGACAAAACTGTTGGTAGTTTCATTAAAATCAAAGAATTCTTTCACAATCTAAATACTCAAAATTTTCGAGATAAAATAGCATGTTATCATTTTCAATTATGCATTTTTTCTTTCTCGAAATTGAATGCTTTAGACAAAACGACATGTATGGAAAGAAGCACACAATTGATATTATCTATCAACTTTTATATATCGCTAAATGATTAATCTTGCACTCTGAGGAACTTTTACCATATTTAATGTATACGTCTACAACAATAACATGTCGATGACTAAATCATTGTACTAATGGCGCGCAAATTATTATTGCACCGTATAAATAGTGCAAGATCTCGAGATCTCGTAATTTTTTTAAATTTTGATTAGATAGGAACTTTGAATTATTTATATATTAATTACAAATGGCAGAAATTAAATAATGTATACTGAATTTTTTGGGTGATAGAAATTATATTGAATGTTTCTGCCATAAATTGTCTTTTATGATATAAAAGCGAATATTGTACATGTATAGATATATATCTATTTGTTTAGAACACATTTTGTGTATTAATTACATAATGGTAGATTAATTGAAATATATATTAAAATGCATACATTGAGCAAACGAACAGCTTATCGAATGCAAACTTTTTTTATTTTCAATCTGATAAGTGAATTGGATCTAATGTGAATCAAATGCTAACAAGTATTATGAATAACGTGCACATCTTTTAAATCTTGATAGCGAAAGTTTTATAATAATTATTCATTTGCTTAATGTATACTTGCTTCTAAAATATCGCAAAACACATTTATATAAAAATCGGCAAATATCAATTGTGTTCTTCTTTCCACACGCGAAATACGAAATATCGTTTTATGTAAAATGTACTTAACTTTTAAAAAGGAAAATGCATAGTCGGACATACCGTTTCATTCCGAAAATTTCGATTGTCTAGATTTAAAGGAATTTCTCGCTTTTAATATGTCGAGTTTTATTAGAAAAGAAATATATTTATTTGATCAATAGTATAATATAGAAATAATATATAGAATAGAAAAAATCGTTAAACTGTAAATAAAAAAATGAAGATTTATGTGAATAATCTTTAAAGTATCCTCTAAGTTTGATATATTGTGACCGAAAGTTATACACGCTGAATAATCAGAGGAAATGAGTCGATTAATAAAAAAAATCGCACAAATTACACGAATTAAATAAATTTTTACTGAGAAAAGATTATATTGATAAAAGAGAATTATAATACATTAAATATACGTATATATATTAATAATATAATATATAATATATTAATTATACGTTTATAAATGCAATTTTATTTTTTAGTTTTCAGAAAAATCTTTCAATCTGTCATATATTGTCGACAATAATAATTATTGTAACGATGATACACTTTGTTTGAAGTAATTCAAAATTATTATCATTGTTCCAAAAGATTAAAGATTTTAAACAAAATTATGATTTTAAACATAATGATTTTGTGACAATTTATTAGTTGGAATTGATTGGAAGAAAATAAAATAGAAAATCTCGAATTTAGATTTTGTTAGACCAGCTAACTTTTTATGCTCTCTATTTAAAACTTAAATGATAAATGATATGATAAATTAAAAAATAAAAATTGTGAAAGTATTTCAATATTATGTCTGTGTGTCCGTGTGTGTGTTTTTACTGTACTTTATCTTTTATCAATAAAATCTTTTTCTTAATCAAAATTCACTCACAATTTATATATATTTTATTTGGGCGGCGGTTCTTAGTTATTAAACAACTCTTGTCCGATTGTTCAGTGTATAATTTTTCTCTGCTCAATTATAATGCATTGAAATGATATTTATTTTAGAATTCAAATGATATTTTAAGATTATTCACATACATATTTTTTATTTACAATTTAACAATTTTCCTGATTCTTTAATTTAACAATTTTTCTAATTCAATCCCCCTTTACTGATCAAATAAATACATTTTTTTCTAATAAAATTTATTATTCACAATTTGATATCAGCAATGCGATATCATTTTCTCTTAAAATATACTAAAGATTAGATATATATAGCTTGACCTAGTGGTTGGTAGGATCGAAATTACTTCAACTCTAGAATCTTATTATTTGTAATAATTGACAATGTTGTTCTAAAATGAATTAATGTATAGCTTTGAATCTGAATGACTGATTGATTTGCAATGTTCTTCTGGATCAATCAAGATATTATACTATAAGTATCATACTTTGATTGACGAGCAATTTATTAATAAGTCACAAGCAGATAGCCATGATGATTATTATTAAATTCATCAAAATGGATATATTACGTGAAGTGATAGTAGCAAGTATATTTAAATTATATTTTTAGCATATACTACCTTTGTAAAATGAAATGGCGATGCCGACATCGAATTGTGAGATTAATAAATTTCGTTAGAAAAAAAAATTTATCCCACCAATAGTAGTATGATATCGAAAATATATCGAATTAAAAGAAATATTAAAATGTGAATAAATACAAACATGTGATGAATTTAATAACAATTATCATGATTATATATCCGCTTGTAACTTTATTAATCAATTGCATACATATTTTATTGGCAACAAGCTGTATTATAATAATCCTACCAACGATTAATGACTGAACGTGGAAAAATATAAAACTTAACTAAATGTACACGACTCTTTTTTTCCCCCACGCCTACATTCAATCTAATTTCATACATTCGGTACACATGCAAGCTTCTTATTCACATAATATATCTTGTGTTTTGTCTTCAAATTTACATAAAGTACAAACTTATGAAAACCGGAAAAATGTAACACAATAGCTAGTGTAGCATTTTCGAAGTATCATATAAGTATTTATCTAATTACATTGTCACACTTTAATGTGTGTATGTTCATCAATTTAATGATAACACAATTTGTCACAGTTTATCATTTTAATAAACTGTTCATTCTATTGTTCGTGTCTTCGGATAATCAAAAGTTCAATCAAGAGGGGTTTTATCTGTTGGAATGTCCCAACTATACCACCACTATAATAATAAGCACGAAAATGTCTGTGTCGTCAGCGTCATTATTCATATAAATTCATCAATTAGTATTATATTCATTCTGCTTATTAATTAACGTCACTTTTTCAGATTCCTCCTACAATGTTAAATATAGAAAACGTCAAGTATATGTCCATATTCTGTCCAAGTTTTAGTGAGTCTATCATGAACAGTGTATAGTAACATTATAAAGACTCCTCAAATGCAGCCATCAAATCACTTTGCATGTTCATGTCAATCTGGCCAGCCATCTGAAAAGATAAATATAACTATTTTTTCGCGAATGCCTTTGCTTTGAATGTTAAAGATAATCTAGATATATAGCTATTTACAATAGACAATATTCAAATTCTTACAAATTTAGAATTATTTAAATTATTATAGTAATCGATATTACAATTATTTAAATTATCGATAATTAATTAACGTATTAACATTTGTGCTAAACTCTAACTTGAAAAATTTTATAATATAAACTTTTTATATGTAGCATAGCACATAAAGGTTATTAAAATTTTATATACATTATTCAGCTAATAATTAATATATTATTTAAATTATAAAATTTAAACTATGGAATTACAATTTTGATCATATGCAATAAGTTATTTTAAATTCTTTTACATATGATTAAACACACAATCATGACTCTACATATTATATTGTGGCAAGACATCTTTCTTTGTCTATTATAATACTATTCTACATATTGAGCAATTTTGTTTTATTTTTCTTTTTTCTGTTTTGACCTGTTTCGACCTGTCTTTCTTTTTTCTGTTTGGAACTGTTTTGAAATATAACTTTTGAGGATGCGAAAAATATTAAGTACTTACCGCTTCGCGTCGTCGACGTTCTTGTTCCCGCAGCCTCTGACGTTCTCTTTCGGCAGCGGATTTATCCTGAGTGGATGAATGACTCGGACTACTACTATCGGTATCAGCAATGGCTTTCACCTCTTCCGCTCTTGTTGTGGCAGTCATAACATTTCCTTGCTGATCTCCGACAGTTTTTCTAACTTTGTCCAGAGCATCTTCTTCCTCTCGTTCCCTTCTTCTCTCACTTTCTTGCCGCATCCTCTCTCGTTCAGCTTGTTCTTTTTGCTGTCTACGCATCTCTTGCTGTTCCATGAGTGCTCTTTGCTGTTTTATAAATATTAATATGTGAGTGTATTAAGGTTAAACAGGTAAATATATTAAATATGGAATTGAAATCTATTAATTCGTTATATTATTATATAAATAAAGAAGCTAAATCGACAAAATAGATGTTTGAATAGTGTAATTGGTAATAAAATTTATTTAATGAAACATTTCTTTGTATATTTATTAGTGCTTACGAGAGATTTTAAATTAGATTGAAATTGAGATTTTAAATTAAACCGAAAGTTTAACCGAGTTAATGTAACGGAAAATAATAAAGGTCAGAGATTATAATACTAAATTGATTATGTACTGAACAGAAACTAAACTGAATTTTGTCGCGCAAAGCTTTCAAAGGTCAAAGTTAAACATTGTAAATATTGTCTCTGTCACTCACATGTGATCGCATATCATAGATGAAAAAGAAAAGATTTATGCGATAAAATTCGATTTAATTTCTTTTTGGACATAGCCTCTTGTGATTTTCAATTGTCATTTTATGTTTGTCTTCAGGTTTAATTTAAAATTTTGATAAAATCAATAATAAAAAAAAACATTTTATTAAGTATTCTTTTATATTTCCTAATGTATTATTTAAAAATATTTTATATTATCATATATATTATTTAAAATAGTATTTTGTGTGTAAAGAAAAATATATAATTGATTTAAAAAGTTAAAAGAAAAAAGAAAAAAATCAGTATTGCAACTGACCCTGTCTTGCTTTTCTTTAGCTTGTTTTTTGAATGCCTGGAATGTTTCTCGGGCTGCGCTCTTCATATTACTCCCTGCCGCTGATTGAGGACTCGAAGCTTGCGCCAGGGAGGACCACGAGGATGCATTCTTTACATTTTGCTCCACAGTCTGTTAAATCAATAATATTTAATAAATAAAATATAGACATATAGATATAGACATATACACAATAGACACATACACAAAAAGTATTTTATTTTTGATACATATCATATTTATCACAAACATATATATGCTATTAATCAACTGTCATTTTTAAATGTATATAAAGAGCAGAAAAAATTAAATATCTTCTAATAGAGAATATTTAACAGTTTTATTTGTACATAGATAAAAACAATTAGAGATATTTTTATCACTTTAATAAACGCTTATGAAAGTTGACATTTTAATGTTATATACTTTCAGACAAAGTCTATTTCGAAAGCTATAAATATGATTTTATATATTAACATTTTTCATATTACTTTAACATTTTTTTATATGTCATTCATCACAAGAAATTTAATATCTGTTCCACTTTCTGACGGTATGAAAGATGTCAAAAATATTTTTGACAATTCTTTACAGTTCCCAAAAGAGAAAATTTATTTCAAATATATCATTAAGATTATATTCTTATTATATTCTTTTATAAATATTCATTAAATAAAAATATTTTTGGTTATTTTTATCTATATGTAAATAAAATAGTTAAACGTCTTCTATTAGGAGATATTTTATTTTCTACTGCTTATATACGTTTAAAAATAACAGTTGATTAAATTCAGCAACTTCCGGTAAGACACACACGCACATAGCCACGCACACAGACACACAGTACACGTGCGCGCGCGTGTATATATATGTATATATATGTATGTGTGTGTTTGTGTGTGTATTAGTGTGTATATACAGGGTGTTCGGAAAATCGTCCGTAGTATTTCGGAAAGTGATTCGAGAAAATTTAAATTTTTTAATTTTAAATTTAAATTTAAATATTTAAATTTAAAAATTTAAATTTAATATAAATTTTTAATTTTAAAATTTAAAAAAATTGTACCACAAAATACTATTTAAAATAATATATTTGATAATATAAAATATTTTTAAATAATACATTAGGAAATATAAAAGAATAATTAATAAAACGTTTTTACTATTGGTTTTATCGAAATTTTAAATTAAACCTGAAGAAAAAAAGAGGGATGCTAAGCGGATTATAAATTACAATTTTTTTTAACATAAAAATGACTATAATTCGGAAACAATTTATTTCCTATGTTTATATAACTTTTTTCCTTCTTTTTGGAATCACTTTCCAAAATACTGCGGACGATTTTCTAGACATTCTGTATATTTGTGTGTGTGTGTGTGTGTGTGTGTGTGTATATATATATGCATGCATGCATGCATGTATGTATGTATGTGTTTATAATATCTATATTCTTTAGATAATTTAATTTAAATTATATAATTTAATTTAAAACATGCTCAGAATATATAGATTGTGTACCTTATTTTTAAAGGCTGAGGCAAAATTTGCAGCCGGATTCTTCGAGTCAGGTGGAGTCATTTTCTTTTCGGGCATCAGCTGCGAACTAGCATGATTGCCCATTGGTGGCATTCCTAGGGTGTTCATTTCTGCAAAAAAAGCTCCTGCTAGAGCAATAGTATTATATATTTGGTTAGTAAGCAGTTGATGTATAGCAGTTAAATACACATAAAGCAACATTAAAGCATTAGTAAAGATAAAGGATTATTCCACATAAAATTCGAGAAATCATATCCAATAATGAAGATTATGCTTGAAATATAAAGAATAAGTGCGATTGAACGCAAGAAAAGACCAGAAAGCAAGTAAGCAAAAAACATAAAATTATTAAAAATGGTTAAAATGAAATTAATTAATATGCATGAATCGCATTGTGTATGTATTTTTTATACAACACATATTTGTATTGTAATAGTTGCATTAAGATTAAAATTAGTTTTGGAAAGAGAATTGTATACGTAATAAACAAACATGAATTTTTACTATAATACAGGAAGAGGGAAGATATATAAGGAAGATAAGCCCAACAAATACTGGCGCAGCCTAAATGCAAATTTGGAAAAAGGAATGCTAAGATAAATGCGCAGAAATATTGCACGAACCATCCATAGGCTTTTGCGTCAGTTGAGGTTGAGAGATGGGCAAAGGTTTTTCGTCCTTCTTTATGGAAATCTGGGAAATCTGCATTGGCATAGATATAGGAAGAGGATCGAATATCGAACTCATGCCTCCCATATTCATTCCCATGTTCAATCCCGGAATGCCGTTGTTATTCAGCATGTTGGGCGGTGAATTCCCGCGCTTTGTATTTGGAAACCCATTGGAGTGCTGTTGCGACATCGTAACGTTATGGGAGTTTTGAATATTTGGTAATGACGCAGTAGTATTAATCATATTCTCCAATTGATTGTGTATGGACATGTGCGCTGCCAGTCCTTGCGGTATATTCATATTCAAACTCGCCATATTGATATTGCCCAAATTCAGATTAGAAGCCATACTCGTCGGCATCATATTTACCGGTTTTACATCCGGTATTAAATTTAAATTGGCATTAGCATTAGTATTATTGGTCGTATGAGATGTCTGGATGAATGGAGGATCCTTCTTAATCGCAAGTGTTTGATCCAAAGAAGGCTGCTGTGTTTGTATAAATGGAGGATCCTTCTTGATCGCGAGCGTCTGCTCCAAAGAGGATTGTGTGGTAGGTACTGAAGCTACATAAAATACATACACAAATCAAGTTACTAATTATATGCGTTCTTCTCTTTTCATACGTGATAAATCTATTTTACGCAAGATATTTATACATAATACTATCATTTTGTGGATCTTATTATACCTGATAGATTGTACGATTGGGAAAGGACAAAGGACTGTTTACTTCTATAAATACCTGATAAAGTATTATATGGCTGTAAAAGATCAGACTGTTGGTTTAAATTTGTTCCGTCTGTGGGTACGGGTGTATTTGCATTCGGAAAGGAACTAATGGTCGTCGGTGGCTGCTGCGGTTGAGATACAGCTGGCGAGGCTGTTATAGAATTCGTATTTGTAGGTGTTACGCTGGGCGGTGGAGTCGGTACAGAAACTGACGGAGTCGATGGATTAGATGTTGGAGGCGGCGGAGTTGGTTTCTTTACAGGAACAGCCTGAGCCATAGCTGTAGGTCGCGATGGTTGCGCTGGCATAGATGGGTGACTTGCGACAGGCATGCCTTGCCCAGCTGTAACAGCAGCCACTGCGACAGGCTGTTGGTTGTTATTGCCTCCTAAAAGAATTTTTGCAATTCGTACTTTGGCAAGTCTGTATATTAACCGTATGTATCAATTTATTTTTTTTTTTTTGGGTGTAAAAACAACGTGCCTTCACTCTTCGTAACTTATATATCACAAAAACTCTGTAAATGAAACATGTATTTGTATGCATAAACATGTAAAATTGAAAAGTTTATAAATTAATAATTCTATATATCGCTAGATATCTATTGAAAAAAATATAAAATTGATTTCAATAGAAGTGAAGAGTTATTTATAGCTAGAAAATATAATTACGATGTTTATATGGTAATTAAAAAATACAAATAAGCATATAAGATTTTCAAATATTTATGTTGAATTTTCAACAAATACATTTTACGCGAAGATTAATAATCATACGTCATATTTATTAATATCGTGATTTTATCCATATACCTTGCTCTGAAGGAATATTGCTTGATTGGGTTGCAGGTGGTTTTATTGGTCCCGCTGTGTTTGCCGTTGCTGGCTGATTGTTCATTAACAGGGCCCCACTATGATTTAACGTAGTAGGAGCCTGAAGAACATATTATCTTTTATCTCGAAAGATTCATTGGTGAAGAATATTACACGTACAATATTGGAACAAGAGTTGTTATATATAAGCATCATTTATTGTTGTGCTTGTAATATGTATTCCATTATATCCTTTTAAATTCGGAATCAATGCAAAACGAATTCTTTGCATAATAGCACCATTCTTTGGAAAATATTTTATCCATTCCGTATAAAAAAAGCGATATAAATGTTCAACTCTCGTTGCGATGGGTCTTTTCTTTATAATCAGTTGTCTTACCGTTGTTACGGTAGTGGTCGTTGTCGAAGGTCCTGGCGGGTTTTTCTTTGCTTTTTTTCTATGTGGACGATTCGACGAATTTCCTGAAATTCAATGTGCCTCTAACAAATGAGTAATGTGCAGTCAATCATCACTCTCTGTCATATCGAGAGATGAGCAACACTAGTGAAATGCAGTGTGCAGAGAGGATACCAGCCATCGAGAATATCGCAAAGCGACAAGTGAAATTACAAAATAAAACACATTAAAAACGAACAAAATCAAACAACTTCGGACATATATTTTCTAATAGATTTTATTCATATGCTTATATTATAATTGTATCACTGTGTACAACAATGTTAATTTAAATATCTCAATTGTATGTTCCTTTTTTTTGTAGACTTTCATCTCTCTTGGTGATTTTTTTTATATTAAAAAATTTTAATACGCAGAACGACTTCGTTCTCCTCATTTTCTACATAAAGTTGGTTGTATTCAATTCATTTATGATTATGTGCGTGTGCATATATATATATATATATATATATATATATATATATATATTATATATATACACACATGTGCGTGTGCATATATATGTATATATATGTATATATATACATATATATGCACATTATATAAATACATATATATATCGCACTCGTGTCCGCATATACATGTACACATGTCCCGAAGAGTGTTTTCACACATACATATATTTGATAGATGTATATATTTCACATATATGTATGCGAGAGCACGCGCTTGTTCTCTTCGTTTAGTGTAGCGATAATCATGATTGTAATAACAATATAATAATAATAATTGTGGCGGTGGCGGAAGTGACGATTATAAAATATTGACAAAAATCATCAAATTGCCGTATTTCTTTTCTTTTATATTTTCATATAATATAATGTAGTATATGATAGGAATAATGTATGTAAATAAATGATACGCGATAATGATTCAACTTCTTCTTTCTCCTATTTCATTTTGAATGAATTTTCATCCTCTTTTGGGACAAAGTACCACGGTTTTATGGATTCAACTTAAAAAGATGAAGGATACACGAGAGTGACACACTCTTACAGATTGTTTAATATTAAAGTCGTAGTTAGCGCAACATTGAGATCGGTGGCAAGAGACTCCTGCTCGATGTTCATAGTATGCATGTGTATGTGTACCATGTAAAATCATCGGTGAGACGGTGACTGATACATGATGGGACAAGTACCACTGCAGTATCACGAGATAATGTCATTCTTGGTTTTTCTAGATATGTGCTCCCAAACAATTCGTGATCGAACAACAATCACAGCGTCGAAATTTATCGATGGAATGTGACGGACGAACCTTGTTCTAAAACTCGACGATAAAACGACGAAAGCAACAAAGGTGAGGAGAAGGGAAGAAAACAACGAGGAGGAGTATCAGCGTATCTTAATTTATATAATATAGTTAACTAGACCACCCACATATATGAGCCAACCGCGACTCTTGAAGAGGAGAATTAATGTTTACTTCACTCGTATAAACTTTGTGTGTATGCATTTAGGGGGGGAAAAAAAACAAAATCTCGCGCGTGTCTATGTGTATGTCGCTTTTCTCCTCCATAAGTGTAACTTATAGCTATTTATTAATATTTTATGATATATTAGTTTTTACTATGTACAAAAAACACGTACGCTCGTGTTATTATTAAATTCGCGATACGCAGAGAGAAAACAGATGGAACGCTTATACATACGAGTCCGAAATAGAAAGGTAATATCGGCGACGTTAAATAAAAGAGATGTATGTGTGTGTGTATGCATGTGTATGTGTTTATTTTTCGGATATAAAATATTTGGATTCCTTAAATAATCTGCTTTCGCGTATAACTAGCAGGAAGAGTGATGACATTCGACAGTCTGGATGAAAAGATGCGAAAAAGAAAAAATTTAGACGCGTGCCTGCATACAAAGTAAATGCTACAAAAATTTTGGAAGGCAATATGGATATCATTTTATAAAATGCCCTATACCTCGTGTTACAAGCTAATGGTGATTGTATCTTAATAGATGCGCCGTAGGATCTATCTAATTCAGCACACGCTGCCAAAAATTTGTTTTCCCATAATCTAGCTAATTATTCGAATATCTTTTTCTCTCTTTCTCTCTCTTTCTTTCACTCACTCACTCTTTCTCTCTCTCGCTCTCTCTTTCTCTAGTCACTTTCAATATTTTGGGGAAACATAAAACGGCAATAATATTAATCTGTCCGACATTTCTCATATTCTACCTTTAAATGCTTATATAATTCCAATAATCAATAAATCTCTTAACCGACGAACACTTTTTTCCAATTGTGGCTTGTTTGTATCGAGAATTAACGTAGTAATTAATTGCCCTACTTCTTATTTCTCTCTCTCTCTCTCTCTCTCCTTCTTGCTTTTTTTCTTTCTTTTCTGTCGGGACAGTAAGTACGCTGCTGAGTGTATGATTCATGATACTATTTAATTGTACTCGAGTGCAAATTCGATTATCCTTAATGCTCACGTTATGTTTAATTACAAGATGCTCACCTTTTGTAGGCGAAACAGCTTAGAGCGTCATTATCGGTTACGTTCACAATAAATTCTTATCAATATATATCTTCCTATTTGTATAAGAACTAAATTTACATGATATCTCAACAAAAAACATTATCATGGAGCGGACATTTACATATAGAAATATAAAAACAAAAAATATCATTAAAATTAATCTTGTTTAAACTCGTATAAAAGATTTTCTAAAAATGTTTTAATAGGACGGGTTAGAGAAATAATGGTATACTCGAAAAATCATGACAATATTCGTTACTTGGAGATTACTAACGGTATTTACATTACACATTATGAAATACTATTGCGATGAAATGCGAAATGTGTGATGCGCTTGACAGGAATAGCCTACTATTCTCACATATCGAGGCATGTAAAGTCACACCAATTCTCATAATTCGCATAATTGTCGTTGACATAGTGATGTTAATTTCAAAAAAGAAGACACTCTTCCCAATTTTTCTTCTAATTATTTGAGCGATGAGAAAACTGACAATGACAATTAACCGATGAAGAACTAGTGGTAAATAAGATGAAACGACGATTTGCAAAGCTTAGCGGAGTGCAAACAATGTGTTTGGAGGCTAGGGCGCCTTGTGTATATATGTATATAGATATATATTTATATATTTATACATATATATATATATATATATTTATATATGTATGTATTTTATAGATCATTTCCTCTTAACTTGTTTCCCTTCCTACTCCTTTTCCTTTCTACCTGCTTTCACTGTGATCAATTTCTTCGAATCCCTTTTTTCTGTCATTTTTTCCTATCTTACCTTCTATTCCTTTAAGTTTGCACACATATGTACATGCTCAAAGTCATTGATCTTACGAAAAAAATAAATGAGATCTATCAATTAGAACTCGGAGTAAGTATATACTCTCCGCGCTAATTTATTATATTATCCTCTGTGGATTTATTAGAATTACTTTATTCGAATTTACGTACTTGGAGCAAGTCAGGAAGATTTGTATTCGTTTTTCGCTCGTCTCACATAAGAAACGTGATGCAAGATTCGGTTTGCAAGACGAAAGAAACACTTTAATAATTGACTTCTTAAAGGAAGCACATCTTTGCCTATGGCAAGCTAAGATCGAGGTGGAGATAGTAACAGTGGAACCGATATCTCTTCGTATATTTGTAAGAAGAATGTTTCAGAAAATTGTTCTGCGGAGATAAAGTTCTCGCAAGAGAGCGTGACTCACTGGTAAAAAATACAAACGCGTAACATTGTCAACTATATGCTAAACCTTAAAATGTGCACTAATTTGCAAATCTAGCCACCAATACACATTGTCTGCATTCCCGTGTGTGTATCGCTATAATCCCACCGCCT